CCATACGTCGTAAAAGCAGCAGTAAGGAGGGTAGATCTAGACGGGTTGAAAGTTCCCGCATAGTGTTTTGCCTTACTTGCAGCTCGATCGTAAAGTGTGTGTGTGTGTCGTGTGTTTTCGTCGTATTTATTATGGCGACAGTCCCCCCATTTTTCGTGGTGAGACGTGTACCACAGTTTTCAGCGTATGTAGAGTACTACACTTTTCAGTGTATTTTTCGTACAACTACAACCATCCAGGGTCACACAGGAGGGGGTGAACACCAGGGCTTTATTTATTTCTCTTTATTTCATTTCATGCCCCACCTTCCTCCTGCGGTGCGTGCTTTATTTTTATCGCGAGAAGGGTCCAGCCGTCCCTTTCCCTCGTCAACGGTGCTAACGTCGAAGTTTGGTACTTACTCACGAGCTTTTTTAGCTATAGTCTATTTCGCTTTCACCCGTAAATTTGTAAAACTTTCACCCACCTCTGCGACTAGCGGATTTCGAGGATACCACTAGACCATCGGGGCGACCGGTCTGTGTTGTTGTTGTTTCTCACATTAGCTCTATAGTCTAGTCTAGTCCACAAAAAATGGGGAGCCCGTGGTCTCAAAACCCGGCACATACGACGCCGCGGGGAAACAAAACAAAAATAGGGCACAAACCACTCGGAACAAGGAAACAAAATGATCGAAAGAAAATTGACGCTTCCCACACCCGCACAAAGAACAAATCAAAGGGTAACGTACCAGCACCAGGCACTACGCACCAGGGCATGGGAGTAACGGAGCAAACAGGACAAAGAGGCGGCAGATGGGCAGACAGCCAGACGTACAAAAACAAAGGCAACAGCAAAGAAAGCGAGATCAAGGTACCCAACACAGCAGAGTAGGCAGGGACGTCATGAAAAAAACGAAACACAGCACGGAGGCCGAAGGCAATACAAAGGACATACACAAAGGAGTATAGCATACAGCAGGGAGGGAAATAGGGCGCAACAACATTATTAGCCGGGTACATAGTTCGCCACAAGTGCTGCCTCGGCCGCCCTACTCGCTTCTACAGCAGTGGTGCCCGGTCGCTGTTTCTTCCCCCCCACCGCCGCTTCCCCGGCTCTCTTTCTCTTCGGTCCTGAGATGGTCGTACTCTCTGCTTCTGCTTCCCTCGCGCGCTGGCGCTTCGCGGACGCTTCCGCCTCCTGCCTGTGTCATTTCCTCATGAACCATGCCGCCCCGTCCTCGACCTTGTTGTACCACACCTCCGGATCCTTGGCGCTCTCTTTCCATTTACCCCCTTCCTTTTCGTCTCCCATGTTGAAGGCCACGAGGTCCTCTCCTAGACGAGACACCCAGTCGCTCTCCTGCCCGCCCCGGTATCCCACGCCCCCCGCCATCGCTCCTAACAGCATGCGCTTGGGGGGGCGGCTGTCCTTCATGCGCATAATAAAGTCTCGAAACACAGCAGTCTCCGTTTGCGCACGGTGGCCTCGATGGTGTAGGGCCGAGACGATTTTCAATCAATGTCGCGTTTCCCTAACACCGAAGCGCGTTACCTCGTTCACAAGGCTGGGATACTTCCACCTTCTTTTTGATTGTCGTACCCTGCGTACGATATGCCTATGACATGTGTAAGTGCGGAGATATAGATGCGGATCTCCGCCTGACGTCGGGGGCAGCACGGAGTTCATATCTTTTCGCGGGATCTGAAACGGCTGGAGCGATCTCCGACGAATCTCCGGTTTTACCCTCTCGCTCGTCGGACAATCTACAGCAGTTTGCTCTGCGGCCTGTATTGCGCACCGAGCGTTGCAGCAAGCAGGGGATGGCGGCAGCCTTTGGCGCCCCGGCACCGCTCCCGGGGCAGCCAGGCTTCCGGGCGAGGCCTTCCGAGTCCATGGCCCGAGAAACTGCGGAGATGGAGGAGCGTCTCTCTCGGCTCAAGACGGATCTTGCGGTCGAGGCAGAGATGAGGGAGGCCGCGGGGACGAGAGCGGGGGGCGCTCGATGGCGCAGCGCAAGGATCGAGCGCGGATCCGTGCGCGCGTACGCGAAAGATGTGAAGATCCGCCACAAGCAGCAGCTGCAGAAACGCCCACCGCATGGGATCTTCGCCAGCGCCACCACCCGGGGGGGGGCGGGCCTCGTGGGGAGCAAGGGTCAGCCGCAAGCAGGGGCTGGGGCTCGCGCGGCGGCCGCACTCCGAGATGAGCAGCAGCAGCGACAGCAGCAATACTGGCAGCAGCAAGCCCGAGGTGATGCACAAATCAGTAGGAATCCTGCCGCTTCACGATCGCCGCCACTGCCGCAGGAGTCAGCTGAGCAGTGTGTTCGTCCGAGCCCGGCCTTCGCGAGCAAGGAAGTCGCCCGATGGGGTGTAGGGGACACGCTGGGGTGGCTCGACAGTCTCGGGCTCGAAAAGTACAGAAGCATGTTTCAGCAGAACGAGATTTCGGGGACGATCTTGCTGGAGGTAGGGCTGGACGATCTCGACTACATGGACGTGCGCGTCTTGGCGCACCGCAAGCGCATCCTAAAAGGTATCGAGGATCTCAGGAGGGGCGGCGGAAAGAAGCAAGCATTGGATGCTAACATGCCACCGCCCCCGGCCCCGGCGTTGGAGCTGCTGCCAGACCAAACCACCAGTAGTACACGTGTAAAAAGGGATGAGAGGGGCCCACGGGGGGAAGGGAAAGAAGAAGGAGAGGCAGCAGCAGAAACGACATCGCAAATTGCTCAAGAAGACTGTCGCGGAGTCGGCCACCGATACTCACCCCTCAGCGGAGGAAATAAGCAACACTGGTCTGCGATCAAGCCGTTGTCGGAAAACCAAAGGGATGGTGACGGACTATCACCACCAGCAGTCAATCCTGCCGACGGACAGTACAACGAATTCGCTGCGGGCTCCAGCATTAAAGATGCCGTGGCAGAGTGGCGTGGAGAAGGAAAATACTCGACGACAACGTCGGCAACAGAGGGCCGCGCGGGTTCCTCATTGCGTCGACCCACGGTGGTTGGCCGTGCCCCGTTAGCTGGAATGCCTTCTACAGCTGAAGAAGAAAATTTTGAAGATATGCAGCTGGTGTTCAATGCCAAACCGGCTAGACCAGGACTGTTGGGGGGACGAGAAGGTGGAAGAGAAAGCATGGGGGAAGAGACAGAGTGCTGGGTTAATCCTTTCTCTTCTCCACGGGTAGGCGAGAAGGGGGAAAACTCTCAGCTCGTAGACCTCGGTCATGAACCGGAAGCTTCTTCCCACTGTACGGAGACGTTGACGGTGGCAGATTCCAAGCAACTACAGGAGATGCGGCATACGGGGCACGACCCAGCCCTTGCTCTTGATGAAGAAGCCGAACACGAGGCGTTCCGAAAGGCTGTGGCGGAGTGGAACCGCGGAAAAAACACCGGCGTCACGGCGGATGGCAGCGGCATCGGGGATGGCAGTGCCTCTGGTCGTGGGATTGGGGGCATCAGTTCTGCTCAAACAGCTACAGAAGTGGAGATTCCTAGCAGGCGAACGGCAGAAGCGATGGCAGAGGAGCTGCGGAAGCAGATGGACGCCGAGCACACTTCGCAGGCGAAGGAGCTGGAAGAAGAAAAGAGAGCCTTACTCGAAGGCTTGGAAAGTTCACGAGAGGGGGCGACAAAGGGGGACCAACTTGAGCTGGGCGCACCCGGCGAGGGAACGGAGGTGGAAGAGCAGGATGACGACGCAAGGTGGCGCGAAGGGGAGGATGTCAGAAGTGTAGGATCGTCTTCCGTCTGCTCGTCAGCAGGGCGAAGCAGCGGCTCTGAGCGCCAGGACACGGAGGCAGACAACTTTGGATGCGGTGGTCATGACGGCAGTGGCGTTGTCGAGATTGAGGTGGTGGAGTCGGTGCTTGGAGCCGACTTGTCGAGTGAGGGTGGGGTGAGCTACGTCGTTGATGAATGTGATAGCGGCGATGAGTCACACTTTTGACTCACGGAGGAGGTTGTGCGCAGGTAGTCTTCGTTCGTTTTAGCTGGTTAGACTTGGTGACATCGAGGTTGTGGTATGATGTTAATGCGTGATGGGAAGTTATATTTGTCAACGATCCTGGTTAATGCCAACAGCCGTGGGCCATATCTTGGTTGAGGACGTACGTCGCGATGGCATGACATGAAATGACACGACGAGGTTCTCTTGAAACCAAACATCCGATACATTTTATCCAAAAGCTGACGAATCACCATCGATACCATCCTATCGATGAGACCCTCGTCGGGGAGGCGAAACAAACAATGACGCCAACGTCGAAAGCGTCACCCAAGGGGTCGGGCCTGTGTGTTCCAACCTGCTTGTCGGTATGAATGCCAACCCCAATTCGTTTTCGGCCGTAGCCACAGCTTTTATCAGCCGCCCTTTGGTCAAAGGCCAGTCGGTTGTATTTGTGGGCCATGCAAGGGTTCAACCGCTATGCCTGCACCCTGCTCCATACACAAGCGTGAAGCCAAACAGTCACCGACCACATTGGTGTACATCGCAACTCCGGCCGTCCCAACAAGAGACCTGGTAACAACCCCACTAGACTAAGAGCCTCAATATCGGAGGTCTGAACTTCACGCATCCCGGCAACACAGGATGCCCAAAACAAGGAAACAAGTTGGCACGTTCGGTCACATCACCGGAGCCCAAGCCTCCGAACAAACACTTTCGTGGCGGTATCTCGACTCTGCCGTGCGCACGAGTAACATCCCGGCCAATACAACGACATCACCACATGCAAAGTACAAATCGAGTAGGAACCGCATACGACATCAGGTGCACACAATCTCGGTTCCCTGGTACGTTGCCTGCAGCACCTCGATGTCATGCTTGCCCAGCGACGTGTACCTAACGTTGACCTTCTCGATGGCGCTTATCTGGGGCGGCACAGACCGTCACATACGGGTACGGACAGGCGGAGCCAATGCCGAAAACGCGGAACAGAGGGCATCAGCATGAGAGCAGTCTCGACGCGTGCATCTCGAAGTCTCAAAAAATATTTTTCGGAAGTGCGCGTAATCAGCACATTCTGTTTTTGCCTAGACTTGTCCTTCTTCATGCCGTGGAGGAAAAGAACATAGAACAACTGCCTTCGAAGAGGAGATTTGGGGGAGCAGGCAATGGCAGAGGATGGCGAAACGAAAAGCCACAAAAGCCTCCTCCATTTTTTTGGAGTGTCACACGACTTCCAGAAGCGGAGATGAAAACAACTCCCAACTTTCCCTGAAGACGATATTGCACGATTGGGTCGTTTTTACGGGCGTATGCACCATGATAGGGTTCTCCCAGACATGTCCAACGGAAAACAAAAACGCCTGCATGCCGGCATCTGATTGTACAGGCGGTGGAGGATGACGACTTAAGGGTTATACTTCCTATGCATATCCGCGGAAGGGGATCAGTTCCAGGCTGGGCACATTTCGCGCGACCAGCTGCCGAACCCCCAACCCTCGTACCATACCTCATACACACAACACACAGGCACCCCCCTCCCGCATGGGCACCTGTTTTACTGACGGTTGTCAGCAGGCGACACGCTGCTGCAGCTTGAGGCAGATAGACACGCCCGTAAGCTTCCACAACAGCAATGACAGTTTTGGATTTGGCGTGTTGCCTGTTTCATTTTTCAGGTTTGGGGACGCAATGTACAAAAAAAGATGTAAAACAGGTACCGGATCCAAACGGAGTACGTGCGGTGGCGCGGAAAATCTGTCCTCGTGATAACAATGAACCCAGCCGTTCCATCGCATTGCGTCGCTGACTGAATGACTCACCAAGCCGGCGTTGCCGTCGTTTTCCAAGGCTTCCTGGCGTTCGTGAATCATGTCCGACACCCCGTCCACTGACACCTTAGAGCACCCGCACAAGTTCAGATCCTGTCCAGCATTGGCAGAATAGCATCGGTGAGACAAAACAAAACATCGCGGGGAATAGTTGAAACTCGTAACGCTTGCGCTCTGCTGCTACTTAGTTTCTTCGAAGAGATTGTGGGTGGGGCGTTGCGGCCGGGCAAACAGCAACATGAGTAACAAGGTACTTGCATCACCAACAGAATCGTGCCGCCTCGCGCAAACTACCTCGATGCGACTGACTGCTCAGACAACGCGAAAGGTAAAAGGGTGTATGGCCGACGAGAGGCGACTCAAGCTTTGGGAAGAGAAAGAACACTGCCGTTGTTGCACCGCCTGCATTATCTGCCGGAACAAATCCAGTGTACGTATGGCTCAACCCGACAATGGGACTTCACACCCTTCGTAATTCAAAGCTGACAGAACAGGTGATCTCACAGATCACCTCTCACACATCACCTGGGCAGCAAACTACGGAATGTAAAAACGAGATTCTCTCGCCGCTGTTTGTACTTGAGACCCCTACTAATAGGCACACCATTCGCAAACACGAACAAAACAATGCCATGGCCCGCCCGCCCATCAATGGAGGACGACCATCTACCTGTGTGTCCTAACCATACCCAGATAATGTCTTCCTAGCGTCAGGTTAATTCATCACCGTGATCATTCCCCCCTCCCAAAAAAAACACAGACACACAGACACACAGACACACACACACACACACACACACACACACATACTGCCCCCTCACGGGGTCCCAGTTAATGGCAGATAGAAGTGTTTTGTGTTTTCAACCGCACTAAGACTGACGTCTTTTCATTGGTCAGCCGGTTAGCGCGGTCGATGCTAATAATAAAGACACAAAAACACACTCAAGTGCGAGAGGCAGGCAGCGCAAGAACAGCGAGCACACAAACCAGACATCACCCTGGCTACATAGTAAAGAGGAAAGGGTCATAGCTTGCTTTCTCCCGCCTTCAGCCCAGACAGCAGCATAGCAGGCACCCTCTGCAGTATGGAGAACAGAAACAGCAGTGCAACCAGGCCAGCCAACACGTTCACAACCCGTAAAAAACAAAAAAGAGAAAATGCAAGTGTTCAAAGTTCAATATTACCCCCGTTGATCATTGGCTCTTTGACGTAGATTCATAGTAATCCGTACTGCACCATCTCACCTGTAGCCGTGGTATCGCCTGGGATACCCACGACAGAAACTCGTCAGTGATGCACGTGTTCCAGTGCACGTGGAGCGACCGAAGGTTGGGCAGCAGGGGGGGAAGAGTGTCCTTCAAGGTGTCCTCCATGTACTCGATAAATCCTTCGCAAATACACATGTGTTTCACCCCGCGGGAGACGGTTGACGGCGCCAAAGTGACGCATCGGCGGGAAAGGGTTCGTTGGGGCAACGGGCGAGATGTTGATCCACAAGGGAAGGGATAACCAACTCGAGTTGGGCATGATCAGACGGAGAGAGAGGACGGGGCTAAAAAAACACGAGCTACTGCCAAACAAACACCACTGCCGGTGTATGTGTTACAGGTCTTTAACCGCGGTTCCACGACAAACGGTTTAAGCGATGACAGTCTTCAACGCTAGACGGTAACCGCGCACCACCAAAAGGAACAAATCAAGCGGATAGCCGGGTGAAAAAACATGGCAATCGTCGCAAACGATGAACAGAATCCACCATTTAGAGCCACGCGGGTGTTTTGAGAAGAAAAAAAATACGTATCGGGTGCCACACAACAGCTTCAACTCATCATAAAACGACATCGCCAGTCATGACTACAACGCTTCGGATTGACTCCAATTACATCCGCAAAAGGTGCTCTTGGCCCCGCGACCATCAAAATCAGTCGCCAACATGCGGCGAATCGGGGGAAAAAAAACTCACATCCACGAAAAAACTCGTGCAAGGTCAAGGTCAAACGCCGAAACTTCAAGGACATCAAGCTCGCCCTCTCACCAATTCGAAGGACCTGAAGATGCCGGCAGCGGTGACAGATCACCTCCAAGGTGTGCGTTGTCACGTTAAGCCCAGAAATATCCAGCTCGGCAAACCTGACGTTGGCAAGGGTCCCCGGGGGGTAGAGGGAAAAGGGAACACACCAAAAAGGCCCAGACAGGAGGGCTTGCGTGTCATGCCGCAGCCGAGACAGATGACAGGCGAATGGTAAGTACCATGAGAGTGACGGCCATCACACACACCCTACCTAGAACGATGGCTCCCAATGCTCGACTTCTCCACAACCAACAGGCTGCCAGCGGCGGCCTTGGAAAAATGTACTACGGTCGGCAGCTTTCGTTACACGTATCGGCCGGTTGGTTATTACGCCGCACGCTCACCCTCTCGGTTGCGGAGAAATCCATCTATCGTTCAGAGTCGGTCCATATGAACACGAGGACGACACCCCACCCTCTCGCTGATGCGAGTTGGCCGAGGCGTGTGCGAGTCGGTCGGTGTATCCCACCCACCACCCATACAACGAAGCAACAGGAACAAATGAAGGCAATGGCAATGCGGTACATGACAATGATTGTCACCGTTCGGAACGTGGAACAAGATGGCGAAAAACGTCCGCCGTATCAACGGCTTACCCTATCACCATCCTCCCGTTAAATGACATAATCGAAACACCTGCGCCGTGCCATATACAAGGAACGGATGTCTATCGGAGACAAACAGCACTGGGAAAGCGAGACACAAGGCAAAAGCACCACGGGGGGGGGCACAGCAGATGGCATGATACATATCCCGCAAATTCCAGCTGGCCCAAAGACTTACCGAGGCGCATTGGGGTGCAACCCGCAGAAAGCGTCCACCCCAGGTGCCGTGATGTTGAAGCACCCGCCGATGTCCAGATTCGCAATGTTCTTCCCATGTCTCACCAAGTGTTCCAGGGACACGTCCGTCAATTTTCGGCAGTTTCTAAGGGACAGGCGCTCTACCAGCGAGCACCGGCTGAGCAGGGATTCTATGGCACTATCTCGGATGTAGAAGCACGCTGTGAGGTCCACGCTCTTTGATGGCATTGGGAGCGAGGGGGAAAAGACCGAGGGTGCACGGGCGTGGCGGGTTAGGAAAGGGCTACTTCACGAAGAGGGTCACCTAAGGTGCCTGTGGTAAATGACATTTGTGACAATACCTACGGCGAAAACGGCGTCCGCTAGACCAGCATCACGATACAGAGAACAGGGGCAACGCACGCACTTCACGGAGCTATACTTCCACGTGCTTGCCCGGACGCATACCGCACAACTTGTACCAGCCCCAAGGCCCACCATCACCAAACCGCTGAGGCGAAGCTCACCCGTAGCATCGGACATCGTATGCTAAGCGTGTCACGGATGAAGGAATCCCCAATCTTGGAGTTGGCCAAGGATACCGAGGTGAAGCTCTTGTCCAGGAATGCTGGCGGTGCGGGAAAGCTCCCCGCCTGCCGAACGAACAAGGGGAGCATTATTGCCCCGCACAGGACCAAAGGAGAGTGTGTAACAGACGTGAGCGTGAGCGTGAGCGTGAGCGTGAGCGTGAGCGTGAGCGTGAGCGTGTCATCTGCCACGGTTGTTGAAGTTCAATGAGTCTGACAGGCAATCTCTGTATCACCGTGCTACGCCAGGCAAGCATTGGCTATAAGCAGAAGAGGCAATACTGTAAAGTCCAGTCGCCTTGTCTGGTGTTCCTGTTCAACCACCGTCGCTCGCTAATTGGCTATCGCTAACCCCCCCAACGCTTTGCCTTCCTAACTGAACTGCTGTGAACGGGCCCCAGTTCGTGGTAATATAGTCACTGTCAAGGGCCCCCTCTGCGGTGCATGGCTTCATTTTTGCGTGTCACCCGTGTTGCAGGTCCCACAAAAAAGAAAAAAATATATGACAAAGGGGCTCCGCGAAAATCGATGACACCCCACGTGAGCCCCCATGATGGGTTGCCCCGTAACACTATCGTGTGGACACCTTTGTCACCGCTGGTGCTCCTCACACAGATGGCTGCGTGCCATGAAACATGCAGGACATGCAGGATAATACCTCAAGCATGTTGTGTTCTTCACGCGCAGACAGTTGGTTTGCCCTGGCTTCCTTGTGAACCTGGCGAATGCCGTGCTATCAAAAGTAAAAGAGCTGCTGCTTCAAGACCGTTTCGCAGCTGTCACCACCAAAAGTCACGCTGCTATCCGCATGCGAAGGAGTTCACGAATTCGCGAGAGACTTCGCCAGAGTCGATTACATTGGCATAGGTAGCATTGAGGGTTGGCGCAGTTTCGGCTAATGGCCACTACGAGGGTCGCACCAGTGAAGCACTCTATCGCCTATACATCGACCAAACACGCCCCACATGTCTAACTCCATTTCTTTCTGGAAATTCTCCGACACGTTCCCCCCAAATTTGACCTTCAACGCTGTACACTCGCTCATGAAACGATCCCGTCCATTTTTTTTATGGCGCCACGCTGTAGAGACATGCCTAAAAAATAAGTTGTCTTTAGAAGGTTGGCAACATTTGGGATCGCCACTACAGCTGGGGCTGTTCACGAAACGGCCTGTCCCATAGGAATCTGGCCGTTGTGGGGGCTCCGCGTGATCGATGCCGTTCGTAACAAAAAATAATCGATCGTTAGACCACTGCTTGTTTATGGCAAACAAATCTTGATCTTGAACTTGGCAAGATAAAAGCGACCCCCCCCCAAGATCAAGATTATTGCATGTACGTGTGTATGGAAAACTGCAAGGGTCCAATTAGTATAGTACGTACTGTTAGTACTTTCCAGTATTTTAGTAAGTATTTGGCTCACGGTACTGTACTGGGGGTTTAGTACGTACCTCCATCCTGTACTGTACTTACTATTGCGTTTAGTACAGCTCTTCATATGTACTATACGTACTTTTGCGTTTAGTACAGCTCTTCATACTGTACTATACGTACTATTGCGGTTAGCACAGGTCTCAATACTTACTCTCGCCCCAGTACAGTATTTCACCAAAATACTATACGTACTATTGCGTTCAGTACAGCTCTTCATACTGTACTATACGTACTATTGCGGTTAGCACAGGTCTCAATACTTACTCTCGCCCCAGTACAGTATTTCACCAAAATACTATACGTACTATTGCGTTCAGTACAGCTCTTCATACTGTACTATACGTACTATTGCGGTTAGCACAGGTCTCAATACTTACTCTCGCCCCAGTACAGTATTTCACCAAAATACTATACGTACTATTGCGTTCAGTACAGCTCTTCATACTGTACTATACGTACTATTGCGTTTAGTACAGGTCTCAATACTGTACTATACGTACTATTGCG